AGCGTCCAAAAGAAGCTTCACAACAGCTATCCGGTTGGCTCCAATCGCGTAGCCAAGAGCGGTGATGCCCTGCTTCGGGGCGGCCACAGCAAGTCGCCAACTGCAGGGACCCGAATTTCTTTGCCTTGTGGTCCTGGGAGTCGAGCGGCTTCTTCTTGTCCAGGAAGTCCTGAAGCTGCGTAAAGCTCCGTAGCGAAAGGACTGGGGGATTTTGGGCTTCTTGCACCAAACAAGGGCACAACAATCTCACTCCTGCACAGCCTTCAAATCTCCGTTCTTGGCCGCCTAGCTGCTCGCAGCAGCAACAAGTGCCAATCGCTGCAACTTCTGCAGTGTCGCATCACAGCATGCAACCCAGCTGAGTGCTTTGGCTACGTGCTGACCCCTGCGTAGACACCAACTCGTGGCCTCATGCAGGGTCAGCGCGGTCTCGTCAATCCTGGGTCCACCCAAGGGCATCCATGCGCATGGATTTGGACTGCACGAAACCTGGGACACACATGGACCACCGGAAGAAGGCGGGGCACTTCTTCAGGACCGGCTGCAGCTCTGACGGAAGACCGCCCATCTTCTGACTTATTTTCAGCATCAACTCCTCGTCCTCTTTCTGAAAGGCTCTTCGCAGACAGCACGAAGCAGAAGAGAAAGCACGACATCATAACTGCGGGACACGGCTGCATGAAGGGGCTTGCTCCTGGTAGTACTTCATGGCAGCCTCCATGCCGTTCTTCTTGATGTCCTCAAAGACGCTGGCCTCGTGACAGCATGCCTCAGGCCTCAAAGCTATGAGGCCCTTCAAAGAAGGGCCACGAGTTGCTGAGAGCCTGGCCAGCTCAGGGTCCTTCTCCAGGGACTTCACGCGGTCCGCCACGGGGGCGTCGCCGTTCGAGAGCCTGTCGCGGGTCGAGCTCTCCCTCCTTCTTCCCTGGCATGGGTGCTGATGTGCTGCTTGGCAACTTCGTGTTGTAGTGCCTGGGCTCTGGGCACACAGCACCATCGGAAGCTTAGGGCTTAGAAGAACTCCTCAACTCGTACAGGTCTACGTCCATGCCCACTGAAAAGACCTGAAGAAACCGATCTACTAAACAAACGGAGGAGCTCGGCGATGGCCTGAGTCTGCAACCAGCCTGGAAGGACATACTCACGATCAGAAACTGCTGTAGCAGCACTGTAGCATGTCGTAGCAGTGTCGGAGCCACGCGAGAAATTGGCGCCTCGCATGGCTTCCGGGTTTTTGGCGAAGCTCTGCAAGGCCTTTGCGGTCTCCGGATTGCCTGGGCGAGCAACAGAGCACTCAGAGCAGCTGCAGAGTGATCGATGGCCGGCCCCATGCCCATGCTGCTCTGCGCAAGACCAGAACGCGTTACGTGGCGGGCCTTCCACATAGGCCTTCACCTCTGCCCAGGTGTTGTCGTCAATGTCCGGGAGTCTTGCGATCTGCATGGTGGTGCCATCCTTGCCACGACGGGCGTGCAATGAATCCCCGGGAAGACGAAGCTGCTCCTTCTGACACGCTGAACTGAGGAGGGGTCGCTGATCTTCAGAGTCTCAGTAGGCGCCGTCGCAGTCTCGGCCATAATGCTCCTGCACAGGCTTCCGGGCAGACTCACGACAGGTGCAGAGGGGAAGGTCGCCAACGCTGGGTATCTGGGCGAAGTGTGTTACCTCTGCTCGCATGGATCAGAACCGCTGCAGCTTGCACGCGAAACCGGAAGTATCGAATCGCAAACGGAGGGCATGTCTCGACATCCTTGCAGCCATGTATCTATCAACCAAAATGTCTCAGGGCACTTGAGGCTTTTCACGCCAG